ATATATATATATATATATAAATTAAAATGTTAAATTTTTATTTTCTCCAAGATCAAGTTTTTGATTCTGTTGCAAGGTAAGGAAACAAAAATAAAAAATGTCATCAAAGACATTGTTATACTGTTGCATATAAACAGTAAAGAGATCATAGAGACATCTCATTGTCATTTAATTTTGTATGTCTAACGACATCTGATGAGGTGGAGGCAGACAAGGACCTAAGTGCCTTGTGTGTTATTGTACTTGAAATTCAACAGTTATGGTCTGGTTCCAATGTTGATATTAGATAGTTTGGAATTAATAGGTTGGGCCTGATCATGAGTTAATGCATGTGCTCAGACCAAAATTTTGTTTTGGTTTTGATTGACCTATTTAAGACTAGTTAGCATTGAATTTTTCTGCGGGGAGGATGAAGATTGTTAGTTATAAGTGGGCTAGCTAGGGAAGTAGGAGGTAGCCAAAGGGAATAATGGGGACGGTGTTGTTGCAAGAATGTTTAGCAGAGAGTGTGAGTTAAAGTGTTGTTCGATGTTTTAGTGGGTGTTAAAAGGGATGGTGGTAGATTTGATGGTTGTGTTGATGTCGTGGAAGTGTTGGAGAGATAAGGGAAGGAGTGCTCATTGAAAATGTTATGCCTAGAGAAGATTATTTTGTTGTATGATGGTTGGTAGCATTTGTATGCCTTGTCAAGTGATGGAAAGCTAGCGAACATGGACAGTGGAGCTGTTTGCTGTAATTTGTATGGTGTGAAAGTTTTTTTCCATGGAAAGCAGAAGCATCCAAACAATTTTATATGTTTGTAGGATGTTGGTTTTTGAAGAAGAAGTTTGTGGGGTATTTTCATTTGTAAGTTTTGGCTTGGCATCCTATTAATTACATAGGGTGTTGTAAGTAGTGCATCGGTCCAGAAGGAAGGTGTGGTAAGTGAGCAATTAGAAAGACTAATCTGGTTATTTTGACAAGGTGTCAATGCTTTCTTTTGGCAAACTCATTTTTTTTAGGGAATAAGGACAACTTTATTGATGTAAAATGCTGTGATAGGAGAGATATTGCTAGAAAGTGTGAAAATTTTTTTCTCCACTTGCATTAGATTGTAGATATTTAATGTCACTAAGAAATTGATTTTGAACCATTTAATGAAATTGCATAACCTTAGAGGAAGTTCCATATTTGGCAAACAATGGAAATATCCAACTATAACGAGGCCATCAATGCATACTATATAATATTTATATCCTTGTGGTGAGGTAATCAGAGCTGGTTCGTTAATGTCTGAGTGAACAATATTAAAAAGAGTATTCAACTTAAAACAGGTTCGGTAAATGTTTGTTTGAGGCTCTTAGCTCAAGTATATTGATTATAGAAACTTGGAGAAGTAGTAATGTGGAGATTTGATGTATGTTGAAATAACAGCAGTAGCATCTTTGTGGGGATATGCTAGCCTTTTAAGCAATAATGGAGATGATGAGATAGATATTTGAAGAGTGGTGAAGATTGGAATACGATAGATACAATCTCAGCAAGGAATATAGTTTAATTAGTCTTATGCTCAGTAATAATGAATCTAAATATAATGAAGGAGATTTGATAAGTGTTACCTACTGTTAGCTTATGAACAAAGATAATATTGTGAGATAAATAAGGAGAATGTAGAAATTTAAGTATGATGAGCTAACGGTAGGGAGTGAATATCAGCCTTTTTCCATGATGAGTTATTGGGAAGGTGTTTCCATCACCTAAGATCACCTGTTCCTTGCCTATATAGGCGGACGGCTGCTGCAGATTGAAATAATTGGCAGTGAGATGAGTTGTAGCATCTGAGTCAAAAATCCATTTGGTGGATTTCTAGTTTTTAGAGGTGACAAGATTTGTATCTGTCTTATGTGAACGAAAGGATTCAAAGCTTGTATTGTGCCAACGTGTGAGAGTTTTGTGTCCATCCTTACTATAAATTTGGCACATTATGGTGGGATTGTTGGAGCTACCTCCCCTGCTGTTAGAATTGGCATTGCCTCCTTTACAATAGTAGTTGGAGTTTGATTTGTTACTATGTCTGAAGGAGTTTCGGCCAACTCTGGTCTTGGTGTGAAGAGTCATAGTTACAGATGTTGCAGTGTCTTTTTTTTTTTTTTTGGTTTCAGCATTGATATTCACTTCTTCACTGCACATTTGGAAGTGGAGATCATCCAGTTTGATGGGATTTGACCCTGTTTGATTTGAGGTTATGAATGATTGGTACGACGAAGGAAGGTTGTTGAGGATATAGAGAAGCATGCCCTCGTTCTCAACATTACCACCAATAGCGACGATGTTATCTACTAATGCTTTTATCTCAAGTTGATATTTATATATGGTGGAGTTTTTCATGAAAATGTGATGTACTTCATTTTTTAGATGTATAACCCCTGATCGATTTTGAGATTGGAATCTCTTTGCCTGGGAATTCCATATTTCAGTGGTAGATTGCAAATTTCATATGCAGGGTAGTATGGATGGAGGAATGGTAGAGGATTTTGCAGTGGAGTGGTTATAGTCAATCAGTTACCAGACCTGATGTTGAGAGTTTGGAGAAGGCGAGCTGTTGGGCAAGTGAATGATATGTTAAGGAAGGCTTTGTTCCAGTTGGCCTTGAACAATATCTGAAATTGGGATCGACATTTGGAGAAGTTCTCTACATTGAGTTAAACATTTGCTATAGAATGCATATTAAGCATAAGAAAATTAAGGAAGGGATCGCGATCTTTAACATTGTGGAGAATTGAGAAGCCATGATTCTGCTAGTAGATAAATAAAACATGATTAGATTGGGTAGGGAAGAGGAAGAAGGGCCGTAGAAGAGGTTGCCAATGGTACTAAGAGAAAATAAGTATATAGCAAATGTTTGAATATGTATGTATTGTATATTAATCAACAGTGTTTACAGTCATAACAATGCTAAGGGTGAAAGGGAAGATTCTAAAGAGTGAGACACCACAGAGTGGTTACAAGCCAGGGAGGAGTGTTGTCATTTTGGTGCATGGAGGACCACTTTGTGCAAAACTAAAATGTAAATCCTACCCTATTGTTTTGAATTTTCTAGAAAACAACAAAAAATAACTATTGTAAGAAAAAAAAACAAAATGTATACTCAAAAATGGTTTGTAGAATTCTCTAGACAATCTAGCGGTCTAGTTTAAAAAAGATAAACTCAGGATCCTTCCTCTGACAAAAAGTTACAATGCATTATGAACTTGACCAACTGATGACCATCAGCCAACCGAAGGATTACCGACCGACTGAAAGCCATTGTGGCGACCAAAGGGCCACCCTGGCCAACAATATATAGGCTTCCACATAAACAATCAAATAAAGGCCTAACCCCCTGGCATGCTGACAATTATCAACATGTGGATATCTCAACAGCTCCCTCTATAATCTTCAGAGGTCACCATGGAACAATAATCAGCCAAGCCGACCTGATGCCCTAAGGCTAATCGAGTTCCCTATTCAAAAATGAGCGGCTTCCCAGAACGAATGTTGACTAGTGTCCATACAAAATAGCCGACAAACCCCAGCTTGGTTGATTGACCCGTGAACCTGCAGAGCAGAAGGTCAAAGCACATGAAAATGTGTCAAATTAACTTATGAATATGAAAAGACACAACAAAAGACAAGAATATTCTTTAACGCCCTTATTAAAGTTCGGAAAGCATGTAATTTTCATAATCGTTTCTTTATCTCATATAAATTGGGAGTCCATAGCATTTATTGAGAGTTTTTTGGCCCTCTCTAGATCCATATTTTGTAGGGAAATTTTCTCTCTTATAACCCCCACATTCAATATATAAACAGTGTAGTTCGCCCCTACGGGACAAGTTTATGTGTAATCTTTTTTTTCTTTTTCCCTCTTTCTCTCTCTACCTCTCCAACATGATTTCTATCTCTCTTATCCTTAAGCATGTCTCATAGAATAAATCTAGATTCAACACATGATAAATCCAAAATTCGGTCAAAACAAATTAGGTAAAAAAAAAAGAAGATATATTTAAATTCTCAAAAAGAAATGCTAAAAAATGTGATGATATGAGTAAACTGTTCTGTTAAAATTTTTGGTTTAGTTAATTTAGTATTAACGTGTCTATCAAAATAGTAAAAAAATCCTTTAAATTTTATTCAATATGTTTTTTTTTTTAAGTATATTAATGGCTATCAGAAACCATACTTCTTAGTTTTTACAGATATCAGTGGACCTGGTTGATTTTATAGATAAAGAGCCATGCTCCGTTCATCAATGAAATGTATTTAAACAGTATAAAGGTTTTATTATAATAAATTTTAAAATTAACACAATAAAATGCCAAATCTTGCCGATTGAATCAATAAAAATTATGAATATAAAATTTTTGAAAATATCTCTCCCGTAGATATTGAATCTCCCCGAGAAGCTTCAAGTATCAATTTAAAAATATTCCGCCCTTAAATAATCGTTTTCTTCGTTCCAAGTTCCCACTTATCACTTCCCGCTTCCCAATTCCCCGCTCCACCGCCCCCCCACATTCACCCTTCCAAGCAATTCAAAGGAAATTGTTCAGCACTTGACATCCACGAATTATAAATAAACACGTGTCACTTCTGTCCTCGCGGGACGCTCGGAAATAAATCCGTGTGGCCGACTTCCTGTTAACCGCCACGTGTACTTACGAATCGGCTTACCTTCTATAATATAAAGCGCACCATCCTCACTGCTCTTCGATCCATACAATTTCCCTTCTTCCCATTAGAGGCTTCTGAGTTCTCCCTCCGAAGAGAATGGGCTTCATGTCCTTGGTCTCAGAGCTCTGCTCTGCCATTGACGACCACCATAGAAACCGCAAGAAGATGAAAAAGAAACAGTTCCAGGTACAGTAAATTTTACCGGCATATGTAACTGTATTTTCAACTCTTTTTATTTTCTACATTTAATAAAATAACTGAGCAGGTCGCTAGGATGAAGAATAAAAGTGATTTATGACAATAACTACTGCATGTGAGAAAATTAGGGGTGTAAACGAGCCAAACACAAGCAAGTCTAGGCTCAGCTCGTGTTTGACTCGTTTATATTTCAAGCTGAAAAAGTATGTTCGTGTTCGGCTTATTTGTTTAGCAAGCCGAACACGAGCTGTTCATGAACAAATAACATTTTAAGAACCTTAATCACATAGCCATAAAATGGTAAGGATTGGGGCAATATTTAAAAATTATTGTTTATATTAAAACATCATTTAAATCTAAA